ATGGCCATTCAAATGACACATTTTGACAAAAACTGTATGTTTTTATCAAGTACATTATTGTGCGCGGCCGGAATGGATTAATGGCATTTCTATTTCCGTTCATGGCAACGGTGGTTTGAGATTCAAATGTTTTCAGATACGGGACAAAATTAACCCACAGTGGACATCCTATCATGTTATCAGGTTAGAGGGCGCATGAAAAGGTGAAACTCATATCTCAAGGCATATGGGAGCAAAAAAAATGGTGAATAACAATTCTTGCACGTTCATTTTTGGTGTTTTTAACTTTCGCGGATAACAATTCCACAGATCCAAAAAACATGAGTGCGCCGGTCGATGACGATTTTCTTCCTGAAAGCAAGACTTATGTCCATTGTTGAAAATAAGCCTTTGGAAGATATGAACAAATCCTCCACCAGTATTGGTAGACGACAATATCCCTGCGGGGTATATCACCATAGCAGTAAGTGGCAGGCATTAGAGTACTTACACAGCCTATCACAATGGACGCAGTAATGCATCTTTCAAAGCACAATGTTATTGAGGCAGGACACAATATCGCGCTACCCCCCGCCGGTTCAGTGGGCTCGCTATTAAGTTTCAGGGTGTGCTGCGGGATACTGTAATCGTATACACTTTATCAGGCTTGTTCTGTCGCAAGTGTTTTGCTTATGGGATTTCAAACAGGGGCTGGGGAGATACGGTCCGCGTCATTAAGAGCAGATCGCTAAGATGGAACCACGATCCCCCAAATATCTTCGAGTGCATAAGCAAAGTCGTATCGGAACGCTTGGCTGATCGGAGAGGGTTTCGATACTGAGGCGGAGCTCGTAATGGGAGGTTTCCATTGCCGGGTTCTGCAGTTGTTGGGCAATTTCACACGGCGTAAGAGCGAGGCTGACCTGTTTTCTGGGTTTGGTCATGTGATGGTGGCAAGTTGGGCCCTTCGGCAATGTGATGTCATTTTCAGACGAAAACGAGTAGCAAAATGGCCGCCCCGTGAGGTGTATAAAAACAGATCATTCATATTCCACAGACCCAATATCAATCAGAAGACTTTAGAGTAGTGGGGTCTCATTGATCATAATTATTGTAAAGTCATATTTGATGTGCTTTGGTCCAGTTGAGGTTGGGAAATGCTCGGCTAGCAAAAAAGAAAAACCAATTGTGGCAACCGAGCCTCACTGGAGGAGGTAATAATAGGACACAAGTCAAACAGAATGATGACAACTAATAACAAAGGCTACTTTCACTTCGGTCGTGACAGGGTTCTGCTGAGTCTCCGAATCTGAGCCAAGTTCAGAAGAGTTGTTGAAGGTGGCTTGATGTCCCACCTTTTGTTACTGGCGCCAGCTGCGGAATCTTAAAAAGGAGCCCGGTGCATTTATTTGGATGCTGCCTTCTGTTCTGCTCTCAACTCTCTTGTCATGTAAAAATTTGACCTCGCCGGCACCTTGAACAAACGCTGAGGGACGGCAGTTTTGCTCAAAAGGGAAATGAACCCATATCATTTTAATATGCATCCCGGCAGACATCTTAGGAATGTTCTCATGCGCTAAACTACACCAATGGATGTGAAAGCGCAATTCATGTAACCACTATAATAAGTGTGGAAGTTGGGAGATAATTGTTTCATCAGCCCTTCGATAAAAATGGAAATATGTCAAAACCAATTTGGGACAAACAGTGCTATTGTTAGACTTTGCTCAGATCTAAAGTGTTATTAGAGCCGTTCATTCATTTTCTTCTGGATTTGCTCTCATTATGGCCGCGGGTCAGTTGGAGTTTATCCCAGCTGACCTTGGCCAATAGACGGGTTACACCCTGAACTGGACGCCGGGGCAAACCCAGGGCACACAGACGACAAAAAAAAACAAAAAAAAAAAAAACATTCAACTCACATTCTCATCTATGCATCCATGGATAATTTGGAGTCTTCAGCGACCCAAACAAATGCATTTTGGGGAATATTGAGGGGACATCAGAGCAGCGAGAACTCGCCAACTCTCCGTAGGAAGCTCACAGCGAAGATTTGAATCCCGAACCTGGAAATCGTGAGGCAGATGCGCTCACCGCGAGTACAGGGTGCCGCCGCGTTATCATTTCATTCAATGTTATTTCATAGTGCAAATTCACAACAGCGGTTGTCTCGGGTGGTGTTGCCAGATTAACCTTGAAAAAGTAACTTTGTTACTTTACTGATTACTTTAAAAGTGATTTAGTTCCTTTACTGATATTGTGATTTTAAAAGTAAGTGAGTTATATTCCAAGTTACGTTAACAATTGCCGTCAGCAGATATCGACAAACCCCGCTTAACATAAAAATGCCATCCGTTTTTTTCCACTGAATTAGAAGTGCATTTTTAAGAACGATATTTAAGAATAAATTTGTTTTTATTAAAAATACCCAACCTTTTTAACATAGCATAATTATTTTTGTGAAGAAAAAAAAAAGGATGAGTCTTTTCTGGATTTCACTTCATAAATAGACTACTTGCTTTTGATTTTTTTTTTAACCGTTTCTGGGACAGTGGTCACTACGGTGGACAGCTTATCATGTTATCAGGTTGTCGGTTCTCATTATTGGGGCATGAAAGGGTTAAAGACAGTCTTTCTTGACTTTACTGAAAATAAATATTTTTTAAATACAATCTACTTATCATATTGAAGTGTGAATGTTCATCTCTGTATGCCCTGCGATTGGCTGGCAACCGGTTTAGGGTGTCCCCCGCCTACTGCCCGAAGGCAGCTGAGACAGGCTCCAGAACCACCCCGCGACCCTTGTGAGGAGAAAGTGGATCGGAAAATAGGTGGATGGATGTTGTGATGGTAAAACTCAATCTTTATAATGTGCTTTTTTCATAAATGTAATGCTTATATTTGGCGAACCTCCCGCAGTCAAGCAATCCGATGCGACTTTTTCTCTTTAAACTTGAGTGCATACTGCAGACTTGAATCCACTACAGTTGTATTTGACTTTGATAACTGTTGCATCAAATTGGAGACTGGAGTGACATTTTCTTAGAAATAATGTTGCTTTTTTTTTTTTGTCTTTTTCTTCAAGAGCTGAACACACAAAACCAAGCCTCCGATCTCAACAGAATACTTTCCAGTATATCCAAAGTGTCCGATAACAAAGGTCTTGGCAGCACAACTATCCCACTTTGCCTCGACCTGTGATTGAATGCCCTGCAAGAGTTTATTTTATGAGCCCTGTCTGACATAGTTTACTCCGGATGTCTATATTCATGTTGTTATTTAGAATCTCTCGAGCAAGCAACTTAGCGGCCTTCTTGATATATTCATTGTCGTGCGTTTAAAAATGTTACAAATAAGCCCTCCGGGCTTCATCCTCTCTTTTATGTTTAATGTCTTCCATCATACTGTACATTAGCATACCTAGACTCCCTGCAAAAAAAAAAAAAGCACCATTGTACCTCACATACATACAGGTTTTGGAAAAGGCAAAAGGGTCATTGCAGATTTGTGGAACAATCCCTGCACAAAAGACAAAAACATCCACATGTTGTGTATACTATAATTGTCCTGATAGAACTTGTGGCTGTTGTAAAAATGATTCCCAAATATTATTTCAAATATCAACAAGCTATTGAGCACCCTGACCATGAATAAATCCTCTTTTTAGTGTGTTACTCACACTAAAGCTGTTACACGTTTTAAGAAAAAGCACGTAATTATTTTTTTTTCTGTTTTCAACATATAGACAAGTTTGTTTTTGTTAGCCTATCATGCTAACGTGTACTATCGAAGAAAAAGCTCTGATATAATATTGATTTTTAACCCTGTTACTTTCACTCAACTGCAATTACAGTAGTATAGTGGTGCCTTGAGATAAGAATAATCTAACTTTCAAGTATTTTGAGGTACTAGCATTTTTTTTTTTTTTTTTTGCTGTAAATTGTGAGCCTACGTTTGAGATCGCGCAACTCACTTGACAACAAGCATCTGTTTAGCACATGGTGAACAATTCTTCATGCTGTTCATTGCCACTCCAAGTTTACTGTTCAACAACACATGAAACTAAAACAATTTCACTTTGTGTATTTAAGAACATCACAGTCCAATAGCCTAATGCTAACCCATAAAAGGAAATGCCATAGACGAGTTAATGAATAGCGCCTTTGTGGCGGTCTTAACGCAAGCAATGCAACCATGTAGGCAGACAATACATCAGTGCTCACAGGCATATATTCTTTATCCTCTGTGTTACACGACAACTATGATCGTAGCTTCCTGAGTCGCTTACAGTATATGTGTGTGCACAACTACATTACACTGCCTCCAGTGGCGGAGAAAGAGCCTGCCATGACTTAAAACTAAGCAAAAAATTAAATAAAATGAATGTTTTGTGCCGTAAATTGTCCTCCAGTTGTGGAATAACCCCGAGCAAGGAGGCTGAATATGGACAGAAACGGCCTCTACTGTACTCTTTCTTCTCGCAATGCTTCACGCTGCACCTTGCAAGCGCAACACAAGCTGTACGCACTCTGCGAAGTGAGTTGCGAGGAATGTGGAGGCCTCGCCATGCAGTGACAGGTGCAGTTTCAGCCGGCCGCGGCCACATTAAAGCTGACACTGACCAGAAGCCCCAAAATGAAAATGCTTCCCTGTCTGGGCCCGGGGAACAACAGCCGCTTTTGTTTGCGGAATCACCTGCCATGGCAGCCTCATTTGAATATTTCAGTGGGCTGTGTTGTGTCATATAGCAAAACAACACTGCAACACAGAACAGGTGTGTGCGCGCGCGCACACGTCTGGGGCCAATTGAAACATAAATGTGAGAAGACCGTTAGATTATAGATAAGACATATGACGTCTTTTTTTTTTTTCCTTGGCAACATGTGGTCATATTATAGCTTCATTGAGCACGCATATAAGGGGGGGGGGGGAAAGCTGCAAATTATTTGCCAGGCGTGGCCACGAGTAGAAAATTTGTGCATGTCATTGACTATTGCATGACACATACGTGTGCGGTTTACCTTGTGGAGCTCGATGCGTATCCTCTCCTCTCCTTTATGCGGGCTCTCGGGCCACAGGTGATAGCTGGAGCCGTAGTTGGGGCTCTCTCTGCTGCTGTTGCTGCGGCTGCTACCGCCAGTTGCGCTCGACTTGGCCGCGTCTGCCTGCTGTGCCGCCGGGAGCGTTGCGCTGTGCGGGTCGCCTGGCGCGGGGGTCCTGGCGCACTTATTGCGGTCTCGGGCTTCACAGTGCTGCCCCGGTGTGCTGTGCTGCTGCTGTTGCTGCTGCTGCTGTTGCTGCCGCTGTTGCTGCTGCTGCTGCTGTTGCTGCTGCTGCCGCTGCTGCTGCTGCTGCTGTTGTTGCAGCAGTGGAGCCTGGTGAGTCCTACATAGCTCACCAGAGCCGCTGGCGCAGTGGTTGATAGGCAAGCTGCTGCCCACCAGTAGCTGCTGCCGCGCTCTTAATTGTGGGATCTGTTGCTCCTGCGTCTGAGACTCGAATGCTCTTCTGTCAGTGCACCTTTTCTGTGAGTTTGCACGGATTCCTTCAGGGGAGGAGTCCCTCAGTGGGAGTCTTGTATGACAGTGCTGCTGCTGCTGCAACTGCAACTGCCTGTGGTCTCGTTGCCCTCCTGCTCCTCCTCCTCCCCTGCAGCGTTCCACGATGCTTGCCTGTTGGTAATTATTGGCACTCCTTCCCAGACGATCCCCGCGTTTGGATTCCCGGGAAAACAGCAGTGAGGAGGAGGAGGTGGTAGTCGGTGGTGGCGGTATAGGCGGGGGGAAAGGTGGGGAGGGCTGCGGTGGTGCGACGCGATGGTGCTGGTTTTGTGAATGGTTCGCCTCCTGCGTGGAAAAACTGCAGTGGCAGCTCGGAAAAACCGGGGCCGGGGCCCAGGGATCCTGCTGCAAAGTGGCCGGCTCCCCGGCGCTGCCTCCGGTGCCGCCCCGCTCTCGGTGGGCGCTGTCGCGGGACCCCGCCGGAGGTGGCGCGTCCCCGCCGTGCGGCGCTCTTGGTGCGGGCTGGCTCACGCACGGGAGCTCCTGGAGGCTCCGGCGGTGAGCGTCGGTAGTCGAAGCGCGGTCTCGGTGGTGGGAGGAAGAGGGCGGGGGCGGCAGGCTGAAAACAGGCGCGTCTTGCTCCCCGCTCGGCTTGCTGCTGCTGGCTCGCTTTTGCTGGGGGAGCTGGTGCTGGTAGACAGCTCCCGCGTACCGATGCCGCATCCCCTTGATGGCCGAGTCTCGCTCCGGTTGCTCCGTTGCCGTGCACTGCTCCGACGCCCGTTCATTGCGACCAGCCCGGCGGAATAGGAGCGACTTGTCTCATTGGTAGCTCTGGCCGGGACCTGCCTTAAAACGTCACACTTGTGCCAAAACACCGCCTTCGACTGGAGATGATGGGTCCGTGCCCCCTTGCTGCGCACAGGTTGCAGCGGAGCGATCGCATTTGCTGGAACGAGGATCTCAAGATGAAGGAAGGTGTTGGAATGGGGCGATCAGCTCAAGATCCACTTTGTCGATGTTGCCATAAGCACCCTGCATTGTCAGAAATCACTTTTACGGCCGCGTCACCACAGGCCTGTCGAATATTAACACCCAAACAACTCTGGATAAAGCCTTTTTATATCACTTGTTGGTTCACTTAAGGCCATGCAGGCAGCTTTATTTATATAGCACGTTAGCCAGAAATTGAAATACATTTAAAAGAATGGTACATTGACCAAAAATTCATTTCCTGCTCAAAATGAACAGACAGAAAAACTCAATCAATAACTACCAGAAAAATTAATAAATATAATTTGAGGGATACTTTCATGTTTCATAAAACGGCGTGTGGCTCAAATGAGCATTGCTGTGTGCTTCTTTGCACCTGATGAAGTCATTATAAGAGCAAAAAGAGCTTTTACCAATTTCCTGAAGACCCAGAAACAGCGAATATGTGACTTTATTGTTGCCCAAATGCACTTTTGTGTCCCCAGCAACAACAAACCCACTCTATCAATTTTTTTTATCCACTGCGCACGGAGGACGGGGTCTTTGGGAAAACGGCGGAAGCTAATTTCACTATTTTAGCAGCACAAACTTAAAAAGGATTGTACTCGTGAGGACAAAGATCGTAATGGTGCGTTCACGTTCAGCTGGATATCGAAAAACCTCTCAATTGGTTTTTCTCTATCATGAATAATTTCACTGATCACTATCGATCTGCCCACGGCGGGCAAAACACGAGCATTTTCTAGCGCCGTTTATATATTTTCTTTCCGTTTACCTCATTACCATGTATACTTGCAGAAATGATTGTAACGACACGGGCACATCATATATCACGCACTGGCATGAGTAATTTCCTAAAGCTCAGCCATATGGGGCAGCGAGGGCTCCAGAGACTGCAACGGAGGTCCACTTAGCCTTAACGCGGAGGTCCACTCTGTTTTATGGCTGCAGGGATCCAGAGCCGCGAGCCAGGGACGCATTGGAAACCTGATCATTTTCATTAAGTAATTGGCTGCCGTGACCCTGTGTGAGTTTCTTGGCAAGATGGAGTTTCATTTGTTAGTTTGGGCAGCAATGTTACTGTTTCCGCATGAATAATTAAATCTAACTTTACAACTCTTGGACACTCAAATAAACACTCTTTCACTGACTAGCCAAAGCCCGCATCTCCTCTGTCTTGCTTATTCCACTTTTTTTTTTCTCCTCACGACCCTAAATTCGATTGCCTGCTTTCAGTGTATTAGTTTCTTAGCCACTGTGACTTTAAATGCCTCGTTAAAAAAAAAAAGAAAAAAAAAAAAGAAACAACAACAACTCATAAAATGTGTTTGTTCCTGTTTGTTTTTTTGCAGGAAGAGCAATGTGACATCAAAATAGTCAATGAGGAAAGACGAGGGAGGCCAACATGGTCAAAGCAGATGAGATACCCATCATGATCAACTGAGAACCTACCAGGATGGACCAGTGACATGTACAAGTTAGTGTGTGTGTGTGTGTGTGTGTGTGTGTGTGTGTGTGTGTGTGTGTGTGTGTGTGTGTGTGTGTGTGTGTGTGTGGTTTTTTTTGTGCGTGCGCATGAAGAGAGAAATACACCAAAAGTGTGCATGCAGGTTGCACAGTTCTCTGAAAAGAGAGGGCGCGATTGCAAAGCACGGATCTGAAGCATTTGCTAGAAAAGAGAGGCAGAGTGTTATAAATTGGGAGGTAAAGCAGAAATAATCATGCGGAGTTAGGAGGGATTTTCTTCTTATCGTAGCACAAAATCATGGAGATAAGAAACCTCCCTGTTATTAGCATCTCTATTCCTCATGTTATTTGTTTTGAAATGCATTTGGAATGATAATAGATTTTTGGGGGGTTGGGTAGGAGTACGCAAAAATGCAAATCTGCAGGTGCTCCAAATTTAGATACTGAAGAAGAAGAGGCAGAGATGGCCCCCAACGCAACCTCAATAATAGTGTCGTTCCCACAGAGCGGAGAGAATGACTGTGACCCGTAACAGCTATAGCAGACTATTGCTAGATGAAATTCAATTTTGTTGATGAAATATTTTGGTCATTTTAAATATACAATGTTGAATTATTTTTGTTTGTTTGTTTTACACGTCACTTTTTCAGTAAATTTCAACTGGTTGTGAAAAATGAACCGCTCGAAAGGAGCGTGCTTAGGATCATATTTCCAGGACTTTGCAAGCAAGAGAGTGATAACAGAGGGAATAATTAGAAAAGTGTGTCGTGGTAAGTCTTAATGAGTTTAAAGTGTGGAGGACAGCGAGCAAAGAAAGTATTTTCAAAAAAAAAAAATGTTTCTCGCTGTATTGGAATTTTACCTACAGCAGGTGGGGCTTGAGTGTATCCTGTGCAATAAACGCTGTAGTTGCCTTTTTATGCTTTGGGCCACCTTATAGTAATTTGTGCAATGTGTTTGCCAGATGTCCTTTAAACACCATCCCTCATTTTACCTTGCCAGCATTAAATGGGCGATTTAACTGGTGTTACATCTCAGATCTTGGTGTCTTGCCCAAACTCGTTGACACTATTTGGAGATATGAAACTGGTAGCGGTGTCTCTTTTATGATATTCTCTCAAACCACTAGATCGTCAAAGTGTCATAATATCATCCAGATAAACGTCCGTGTCCCTCCAGGAGTGAACCGCAGTTCAACATTTGTTTGCTTAAGATGAGTTTTATCCCACCCGAGCGCGCACCGTAATGTAAGTAATATAATGTCCTGCTGCAGTGATCCAAGTGCCCCAAGGGTCTCAGTGTCGGCAAAGATGAGCAGAATTTTTATTCTTTTTTTTTTAAATCTTTTTATGGTCGGGATGACGATGAACATTGTCACGTTTAGAACGACATGAAAAAGCTTTTGTGAGCTAGATATTGCGTTACCCTCTAAAATACATTCAGTTTTAATGTACCAAATGCATCATCTCATCGGTGTCGCACAAGCTAGCGTGTCTTTGCTAATGCTCGTTAGCAAATTTCACTCAACCTGAAAGCGACCTTTGGCGTAAAGTACAACTAATTTAACCTGAAAAAAAAACAAAACTCTTTAGTTTACTTCAGAAGGTTAATTAACAATCTGTGTGTTGGCTAATGATCAAAGTTAAGCTAGGCCATCATGTTAGCCGTATGCCTAAACAAGCTCACGGTGGCCAATAAAGCTGTGCCGTTTTGACTTCACTGGATTATGATCAATTAAAATGTGATGCTTTGCTCTGGACAGACATAAATACCTTATTCTTCTGTTTGGTTCTCCACAATTGAAATTTGTAGGGTAAAAGTATACATTTTACCAAGTATTGGAAGTAGAGTAAAAGTGAATGTCAGAAATATCAGTGATTAAAAATACCTACCTACAAAAACTACTAAAATCGCAAAGTGTGACCTCCTGTTTCTTGTCTTTCTTTGATTTGTTGTCATGCCTTTGAGGACAGCCATCTTGTGTCTTTGTCAATTCCGAGCATGCCACAGCGTATTTGGCAAACTCACGTCATGCCCAAGGATAAGGCATCAGGGGGGGTTCTGCAGGAGCAGCGGCAGTCCTCCGTTCAATGTTTTTCGACCGTTGTGCAACAAAGTGATATACTCTGTTCGAGAAAGAGAGAGCGAGAGATGCTACACTCGCGTAAACGCAGATCGTCCAACGTGATGAACAACCTGCGATCGGAGCGATAGGAGACAAGTCGTGACTCAAACCGGACTGCTGCGCTACGGCGCTGGATGCAGCCGGTGTGAAATGATACCAAGGGCAGGCTTGGAGAAGGTGCATCTGGGAGATAGGGGCTGCCGGCCGCAATAGTCGGGGAGGCAGGGCTCTGGCCCCAATGCTGGAATTTATCTCTGACAGTGGAGATCATTAGTTTGATTTGCTCTGGCCACTCAAATGATGAAGCATTGCTTCGCCATCGTCCAGGAAGCGGCAGGTATTGAGAGTTTCAGTGTGTGTGTGTGGGGCGGGGGGGCAATTATAGATGCGAAACAGAAAGTCAAGATGACAATACACAACTGTGCCACATGCGTCACCCGGAGCTGTTCAGAATCACCATTTATTTGTTTAGTAAGGCGACAAAAACACGAAAAGATTTAAATAAGACACTCACCAGATTTGTCGATTAATAAATGTATTCATGTGTGCAAATCATGACGGACATGCATTGCGAGGCGACGTTGGCTGAAAGCGTTTTGCTCTGACGAACCAATCAGAAGATGGAAAAAGCCGAGAACGTGATAGAGGACAAACTTGATAGGTTAAATGTCTCAGAGGAAGAATACGGAGACAATTAGTCAACGTACACACCAGACTTAAACTAAAACGAACTACAATTATCGTGAAAAGGGCTTTTGTTTTTGCCTCTGTCAGTTAACATCGTACATGAGGATTTATGTCTTCATTTCAAATTTATTGATTTGAGTTTTGCCGTACATCCGTCAAGAAGACGGAAGATAAAACAGTCCTTTGAGAATCTACTTTATTATACACCACTTAGTGGCCTATTTTTTTTATTTTAATTGTGCTCAACAACTCAATATATATCATTTCAAAAATCTAAAACACTCTTAAAAACAAACATTTTCAAAAAATAAAAATTAATAACTACTAGTAAACTAACAAGGCAATTATAAAAACTCATTTAAACAGACTGCATTATAAAAAAAGCAAAAAACGAAATGAAATAAAAGCTAACTAATGAAAAATCTCAAACTATTACAACTATTTCCACATTACCCTTTTCATTTCCTGAAATATTACATTGGCCTCACTGCTTTCATCATGATTGATTATCCAAGCCATTTTTTTCAGTAAGAATTATTTTAAGAGTGACCAAAACAGACACGTAGTAGTAGTAGCCAAAATATTAACACCGACCATTCAAAAGTTGTCACTTTCCTTACATTTTCAAAAAAGAAAAAAAGACCACCAAAAAAAAAGCACAGTTTTGTTCAACAGAGACGAGAAGAAACTAAACGTAGTCTCTTTTAATTTCACGCAGGGGCAACACATATACACAAACAATATCACGGCATGTTACATCATAACGTGGTACGACAATGAAGGTGCGCTACTTTCAGGACATTTTTTTTTTTTTTTTAATACAACTCTTGCATTATATCTCATTCCATTGTGCAAGTGGTCATAATATTGTAAAGACGCCACGTTTAGCCTCTTTGCTGATTTACACCCAGAGTGCTTTTCATTCACGTCTCTATTTATGGTCAATTTATCCGGCACCATCTGAGACGTTATCTCACCAGTCTTGCGGTTAGTGCCTCTTGTGTCTGGGTGTGGTGATGCGAGCAGCTGCTTGCATAAAAGTGAGTGCAGCAAACACCTGCTTGTTTTGACACAAGCACTGGACCATCAAGCTCCTTTCACTTGTGATGTCATGACATTACCTAATCACCAAATAGGCCAATTTGTACAGCCGCCTGCGTGTGTTGAGCTATGTGTGTGTGTGTGTGTGTGTGTGTGTGTGTGTGTGTGTGTGTGTGTGTGTGTGTGTGTGTGTGTGTGTGTGTGTGTTTTATAAAAACCGAGACCGTGAATGTTAGAGGACTCGTCCCCCACAAAATCCCCGTTGCCTCTTCGTGGTGTGTTAGAAAATGCATCTGGGAGCGCACTGTTTCACTCAGGCCTTTTGGAAACTTGAAAAGTTGATCAAATGTTTCCGCTCAGTTGTTGTGAGTGCGCTAACGCTAAAAAGGTGAGTGAGTTGCGAGCAGTACTGTACAAGACAGTGAACAGCTGCCTTCGGAAATGAATGTGAGCGGAGTCGCGATCTGAGCACATGAGGACAAGGAAAACGAAATATCAGTTAACCGCACTCCCGCGTCGCATTGTGGCCAAAGGTACAATCCGAGTGGATTCATGTGATTTGGCAAGACTACGGTAGCCTTCTCGGTCCGTAATTCCGGTGGAAGTTGCTTGTTCGTATTTTTTAAAAGAAGAGTCGCAATAGACATTTTACACACACACATGGATTGAGCAAGGACACAAGTCGGTTTTCGTCCGTCCCTTTCCGGGTTAAGTATGTCATGTGGGAAGGCAGAAATAACAAAGCCAGAGTGTCGCCAAACACTCTATTTTCAGACTATTTCATCTCAACAATATTTTTATAGCAACACTGCCACCTAATATAGAGTCAGAGAGCATAACAAAGTGCCTACGGACACCCATTTCACCAAAGATCAATACCGCCGATTAAGAAAGCTGCCTGTGTCTCTCGGTACCCGCCACCATGCTGATCGCTCGGATATTGAAAAGTCAAATTTTTATTATTATTTTATTTTATCGCAGTAACTATTTTTGTGCTGAAGCGCTTTAAAAGGACGAGGACGAACATGCCCATCTCGACATTTTAGTATTAAAAATAAAGAATTTTTATAGAGTTATTAAGATAACATTTCATCTGTTCACATCTGCTCGGAAGGTATCGCTGGCAAAAAGTGACGGACCGGTAAACGAGGGACCGG